CAGTCCTTATGAGGAGAGGCTACGGGACCTGAACCTGTTCAGCCTCCACAAGAGAAGGCTGAGGGGGGATTTAGTGGCCTGTTACAAACTAGTCAGGGGGGACCAGCAGGCACTGGGGAAGTCCCTGTTCCCCCAAGCACTGCCAGGAGTGACCAGGAATAAGGGTCACAAGCTAGCAGAGGGTAGATTTAGGTTAGATATCAGGAGGCGCTACTTCACGGTCAGGGCAGCTAGGATCTGGAACCAACTTCCAAGAGAAGTGGTGCTGGCTCCTTTCCTGGGGTTCTTTAAGAGGAGGCTAGATGTACACCTTGCTGGGGTCGTTTAACCCCAGTACTTTTTCCTGCCATGACAGGGGGTTGGACTACATGATCTACTCAGCTCCCTTCCGACTCTAGAAACTATGAAACTATGAGAAGAGAGCAAGGAAAAAAAGGCTGAAGGGAGGCAATGCAGTGACAGAGTACAAGGTAGAAAAGAGGCTGTCAGGCAGGTGCCTGGTGAATCCGATGTCAGACAGGTTGTAATGTATCCTAAAACCAATGTCTATATTGGGTCCATGATTTTTTGTATCCAGTAGATCTATGAAGTGAAGTTCATAGGCTTGTTATCCCCTTGATGAATATATTCTACATAATGTGGATATCACACAGACCTTTGATTTTGAGACTATAGGGTTTATACAGGGATTTTCAGAGGTTTACAAGGGGCAGAAAACACAGAAGTAATATATGAGTGTGAAGCAAAAGTGCTTGGGCTCTCAGTATTCCATGCACATATGTTTTTGTTCTCTTCTGGAAAAGGTATCATGAGAGGTAAGAAAATGGTTTATTCATTGTCTATTCAGTACTTAATCTCTCTGTTGAAACCCAATTTACACATTAATTGAAAATGACAGCATTAAAATTTGAGACTAGTGAAACTTGGCCTAAGTGTCCAATCAAGTGATTGATAAAAACACCTATTTTTAGTGCTGTTCTTAATAAAAGAGGATGGGATATGTCAAGTAGTCTCTTCAAACATGATAAGTATGCTGTGGGACAAATTGGGGATAGTAGAAACAGAAGGACAAATTCAACAACAATTTCAGCAAATAACTATCATAGGCTTTATTCTATACAAACTGTGGGTTTTCAGAGATAATGCCTACACATGTCAGGGAAAGTAGGATTTTATTCCTGCATCTGCTATATAGTTTCCTTCATAACATGTTTTAATATGGGAAGAGTGACAGTAATAACCTAATGCAACATCTTCTGGTTGCAGGTTGGAATGACCCACCTCAGACCAGAGGTGGGTATGTGGGCACTAGAACCTGCCAACAGATGGCACTCCTCTCCTACAGCTAAAGCCCCACAGCACAAAGTGTTGCCAAAGCTTCACTTCCATCTTAAGCCAGATCCAATGGGTCCATGGGCCATATGTTGCCAACCCCTGACCTAATGGAACAAAGCTGGTAAAACAACTACAGCATCATAATGCTGAACATATTAGGCTTCCATCAGTGATACCAACAAATTATTGTAAAATTACCATCTATTTTGATCCTTTAATTTCCTTTTAAACAACATGTCTATCACATTTCCTAGGTGTGAAAACAATGAAAAATTACATGCAAGATTCAATCTAGCACAGTGTCATAATACTAAAATAATTCTCTGTACCACAAAAACATTTTTAGACTGCCTTTCCCAATTCAACTCCCTTTCTTAGGAAATGTGTGAGTGAACTGGTAGGGCTTACTTTGGAAGGACCCAGAAGGAAGCAAAACCCTTAGTTGAGGACCCTTCACAAATGCACAACTTGTCTTTAAGGATGGTCTAAGGCCTATTAAGGCCTAAGAACAGTTTGTATATGCATTTCATTTGGTTTCTGCTGTCAGGTTGGAATGTAATGAGAGCTCTAAGATTCAAAGGCGTCATTCTATAAAGAGCTTTATAGAGCAAAACAGTTATTTGCTGAATAAATTATAGGACAACTCCCATTCAAATTAGGTCAATAATATAAATTTTTATCTATATCAGCAACTCAGACAATATAATATATTTGAGGATACAATCAACATTATGAAAATGCCATTTTTTTATATTTATAAATTTAAGATTTCAAACAATGAGGTCTAGTATGTGAATGAGAATCTGACCGTAGTTTCCTTTTCTATGAGACAGTTTTTTCCATGAAACCATGATAGATATGGTAAAAGTGAATATACTTAAGAGAAACTGAATGGCCACTTATTTATTTAAATTTGCATTTTGATCTCCACTAAGGTAAGTACTATACTAACACATTATTCAGTCTGAATGTTGAAGCTACATTATAGCTGATTAGTCAGAAGGCTAATTATGTAGAAGAAATATCCTGAAATCCTACCTTGGTTGCCACATAAGAACATGTCTAGTATGACACATTTCTCAGCTGGAATAAAGCTGATATTGCCTACTGTTCCTATCAGCAGAAAAAAGGAATTTTCAATGAGTGGAAGAGGTGTTGTTAGGGTAGATTACAGAGTAGACTACAGATACATCCTATCAGTTTGTACCTGTACAGATAGTGTCTTGGGAAAGCATAGCCAACTGCTAAAAGTTAGAAGAGCCTTTAGGTTCTCCTAACTTAATTCAGGACTAGGCCAGGGCACATGTAGTATACACTAAAGAATTATTTTCTAACGCCTTTTGTCAAATGTATTTTGGCAAAAAACAGCACCTGTGAGAGCCAGGAGGTTGAAATTGTATACCTAGACTTCCAAAAGGCCTTTGATCTGGTATCCCATGGTGTTCTCATGGGAAAATTGGAGAATTGTGGGCTTAACTGCTTGACAGTTAGGTGAGTAGGAAGCTGGCTGTGGGGTAGGACCCAGAGAGCTCTAATGAATGGATCTGTGTCATCCTGCCAAGAAGTGGCCAGTGGTGTCCCTCAGGGGTCCGTGCTTGGTCCAGTGCTTTTCAACATCTTTATCAATGATTTGGATGTGTGGGTGAAGAACTCACTGGCCAAATTCATGGATGACACCATGTTATAGGGGAGCATGGTTATGCTTGAAAATAGGCTGCAGATACAGGCAGATACAGACAGGCTAGCAAGTTGGGTAGATCAGAACCAGATGAAGTTTAACACTGAGAAGTGTAAAGTGCTCCATCTGGGGATGAATAACTCCCAACATGCTTACAGGCTCAGTGGTGCCAAACTGAGTAGCACCATGATTTAAAGGGACCTAGGGTAATAATAGGCCATCATATGAACATGAGCTGTCAGCACGATGCTGTAGCCAGCAGGGCAAACAATACTCTGGCATACATCAACTGATGCATCTCAAGCAAAACCAAGGAAGTGATTCTTCCGCTTTACTCAGCATTGGTAAGACCACAGCTGGAGTACTGCATCCAGTTCTGGGTGCCGCACTTCAACAAGGATGTGGAAAAGCTAGAGAGAGTCCAAAGAAGAGAGGTGCCGGAGGACTGGAAGAGGGCCAGCGTGGTTCCCATCTTCAAAAAGGGGAGGAAAGAGGACCCGGGAAACTACAGGCCAGTCAGTCTTACCTCGATCCTGGGCAAGCTGTTCGAGAAAATTATTCTGGCACACATCCAGGAGGGGCCAGCAGGGAACTGCATGCTCAGGGGCAACCAGCACGGGTTCATCAGCGGCAGGTCCTGTCAGACCAACCTGGTGGCCTTTTATGACCAGGTCACTAAATCATTGGATGCAGGGGTGGCAGTGGATATAGTTTTCCTAGACTTCAGGAAGGCTTTTGA